CTGACTGACTCTGGGGCTTTCCCAGGGCTTGGAGTGCCCCTTCCACTTGGGAACAGTCAATACCCAACTTTCAGTGGCAGTTGTCTCCTGATCAGTTGGCCTCACCATACCCGAATAATAACAAAACCTACATTTTAAAATAATCTTCATTGTTCTAGTACTGGTTTTAAAATATCTAATCCTACCATTTCTGGTTTAAATATTCAATGGAAAATCAGGATACTTAGTCCTCATGATCTAATCATTGCCCCAGGAAGCATAAACAATTTTATTTTGATGCATTTGCTTTTCCGATTATATTTAAACAATTCAATAATTTAAATTCTTTAAAAATTTCTTTTTACGTTAATAAAATATGTAACTAGAGAGTATATCATTTTAAAATTTTCACAGCAAAAAAATTTCAACTAGTAATCATAAAAGTTATTTACAGTACCTTTCTCCGATGTTTCCTTAGATCACTTGGCTGTGATTGGCAGTAATAAAAGCAACATAAAACAGAACTAATTAATCATCACTATCTGACTGTGTTACAAGTTTAAGTAGTATCTACAACTTACTATCATGCTTTTCTTGATTCCTTTTTTTTCTAAATAAATGTTTTTTAATCCTTGTTGAAGCACTCCTTCTGGTAGTTACCTTAGAGAACCTCTCAAATGATATGGGTAGGGGGCAGGTCTCCATGATGGGGCCATGTGTATATGCATTGGATATGAGACATGGACCTTTGGGAACATAAAGCAGAGTGAGTTAGTCAGAGTAAGTGAGTCCAGCCAGTAGAGTGAGCTGGCCAGAAATAAATATGATACTACATCCTCCCCCCAAAATATATATGGGAATGAAGATCCAATGCATATATACGTTATTTATAAACTCTCCTTTTCACCCTATCTATGCAGAGCCTTGGGCTTTTCTTGGGCGGGTATGCTGTTCCTGTGGGATCTCAGACTTCTTGGTGTCCTAACAACCTTCCCCATCCCCACAAATGCCAAAAGCTTTGACCTTTGCATATGTTTCTGAAGCTATTGCTTTCTTGTCAATGCTCTCTTACAGACTTTTAAAATTAGTCAATTTTTTATGATTCAAAATGAACCTTAGGTAAGTGAATACGTAAATATACTTGTTATTTTTTCTTCTCTAAGCAAAAAAATTTTTCTTAAACTATTACATTTTGCTTTATATTTTTGTTGTTAATGGAAATTTGTTAATTTTACTCCATTCACTATTCTAACTAGACATTGCTAGCATGTTATTCATGCTTATTGATTTGTTGTGAGATAAAAGTAAGTGCAAATGTACTTTATGATCAGGACAAAAAAACAATGTTTGTAAATTGTTACACAGTACAATTAATACAATGTCTTTTCCCTCTCTAATTTTCTGTCCCTAAAATTTCTACTCTTCTTCTGAATATTCAAACATGAATTATATCCAACAAAATTATTTTTTCTCTAATATTTTCCTATAGGTAAGAGGAAATCTACTTGTGTAGATTTTCTACTATAAAAATAATAAATTTGGTGACAGAATTATATTAGGTGATAAGAACTTTCTTACTAGGATATTGAACACTTTACCTATTTCTTTACACTTCAGAAAATGCCCTAAATATTATTTTCATACTTTAATTATAGTGTAATAATGTTCATTTATCAATGATTTATTTATGACAAATGGCTTAATAAAATGCATAAAAGCACTGGCATCTTTTACACACACATACAAATCACATCTAAATAATTATACATATATTATTTTATTGTAAAATAATAGCCCTATCAAGGGTTATGATGCTAATGTTTACGAATATCCTTAAAAGGGCAAAATACTACATTGTAAAAATGTAAAGAAATAATAGCAGTACAGAAATAACCAAAGTATCCTTGCCTTGATCACTGGCTAAACTGTGCTCAGCAGTCCAAGATTCTTACTGTAGCTTTGGTAATAAGCTGGTCATCAATATTANCTGTGCTCAGCAGTCCAAGATTCTTACTGTAGCTTTGGTAATAAGCTGGTCATCAATATTACGCATTACTTATGCAGAAATTAAGCCAGAGACAATAACGTTTTTAGTTAATAAAACTGGGTGGATGGTTCCTCAGTTTCTAAAAAAAGCAGATCATAATGTGGCTCAGTATATTTGGCTAGTATATCTTTGTACATTGGCTAAAAGTTTGTGCTGTATCTGGGTCGGATCAGTTCTGATCAGTTAGTCATTGCTGTGATTGGCCATTGTCTGTTCTGCCTATTTAAAAATATTTTCAATATCAAATCTAGAAATGAGCACAGAATAGAGGAATCAATGGCTTAAAGAGGCAATTGTTTCCTTTAAAAAAATATATTAGCATTTTTCTTTTATATAGATTCTATTGCTAGGAAGTCCCATGATTAAAGAGTTTGAATGTAGGAAATGTTGCCCTACAATATAAATAGTTTTCTGTTTCAATTCTAAATTGTAAAATTAGAGAAAAAGATACCTAAACTTGATATATATATAAAAGAAATTTTGTAAAGATAAAGTAAAAATTTTGAAGATAAAATTAAAAAATTACTTATTTATAAGACAATTTTTTGAGTGAAAACATTATATACATATATATATACACACACTCATACATATACACATATGTACAACTTATATAAATTAATTCTAATAAAAATTATCTCTATAATTTATTAACCAGATTACACACTATTGAAAAATATTTAACAATGAATTGAGACAATGAATTAAACTTTTTTATCTTGATACGTGTGTGTGTATAGATAGGTCATATAGACATGGGCGTTGTGCACTTTTGTAGTAGCTTCACAGCCTTCTGGCCACAAACACTATATATACTTCATATCATTCTGTAGTATCATTAAATTTTCTCCATATATAAGTGTGTTAGATTTTATAGCATATAAACTATTATATGGGTATTTGCATTTTAATTAGTTTCTAATTAATTGTTTTATTTAAGCTGTTTTATTTTTAATTGAAATTTTATTGTTTTAATAACATAGTTTTAGTATTTATTACAAAGACATAGAATTTTACCTCCATATACTGTTCAGAATATTTTAACCTTTATCATTACTTCATTTCAACATATTTCCAGGTAATGACAGAAAAAGAAAATGCTTTTGAGTTAGGTAAATTCGAGGAAGAATCTAGCTCCATTTATTAGCTGTGTTGAACATGGGCAATTTCCTCAGACTCTGAAAGTCTCAGTTACCTCTGCTCTCTACTGAGATAATGTTCTCCAATCTTCAGTTTTGTCATGACAAATTAATGGCTAAACACTGTGACATTCAGTTGTCATTCTTACCATATTTTCCAGAGGTTTTCTTGTATTATTTTTAGTATGGGGCCCTTTGATTTTTCTCTCAATTGCGTTCAGGGGACTTCTTTTTTTTTTTTTTTTCCTTTTTTTGTCTTTTTCCGTGTCCGGCAACGGATCGCAACC